AGGGCACGATAGCCCTTTGGGGAGACAGAAAAAAATTATTTCAGTTTTATCCAAACGGTCATCACATAATTTTCTACGAAGTCGCGCTAATATCCCCCTGAGGGTGTGAGAAGCATCGTGCTCTAATGCTTGATCCAGATAGGCTGGCGCTCTGACCAATCGGGACATCGTGTTGCTTAGTCCTTGGCGCACACGTGAGTATCCCGCTTGGTCAACGTGAGGTTCGGTTATTCTGATCGGTTGGCCGCGGACAGAAGATTTTCATTTGCTTTTTTTTGCGCTTAACCAATTATTCACTGGTATTTGTTCCCACACGCTCACGTCTGTCAGATGGCCTTGCTTTTCGACCCGACAGATGGCGTATTTCCGGAGCAGTGGACTTAATTTAACCCATCTCCTCCGCATTCCCGATCACGTCATGGACTTGAAATTGCTTAACTTGAGATCCTTCAACGAGCCTTTCAAATGACGCAATATGGGATCGGAGTTTATTTATTCGGAACATCGAAGTTTTTCTCGCATGAATTCCTTGTCGAAAAGCGCACCCTAGCATAGCTGTTTTGCCGTCTACATCCTGGTTACAATATAGATATATGGGGATTTGTCAGAAACGGGTTGTTTTGTTCCGCTAGCTTTATTTGGAGCCTAAGCAGTCGCTATGAAAACATTTTAACGACTCTGAATACGGAGAATAGAAGAAGAGAAAGAAGTAGGTGGTTTTGACTGGCTGGTTGAGGTAGTTTCTGAATTAAGTGGTTCGCAGGCTGATACTGGCCATCGCTGATTCTGGTCTATGGGACTCATAAGCTGATACCGACTCATCCTTGCATTTCCCTTAGCTTGCAGGACAATAGTCATTGTGTACTCGTATTAGGGATTTCTGAAATATTCCCAGAATGCTTCAGGTGTTCGTGTGTGATGAAGGCCGGTGGTTCCACAGGAGACTAGGGGGACTGTCCACTGTCTTGAAAGAATCTACCGGTAGAAATTAGTTACAGGGAGACCCCATGCCTTCCACTACCGACTGTGATCACACTCGTAGCTTTGGGTGTCCCCTTAACCGCCTCCCTCTCCGCCCTTCGGACAATTATCTGTCTGCCGAAATGCCTATAAGGTCAGGGTGATAAGCTAAAGTGACTAGTACATTTTATGTTACTGTTGCTAGTCGCAACTCGTTCAGCAGCGTGACCAGCAGAACATGGACTTTTCTAAACTTAGTCAGTAACCAAGTTGTGAAATAGTCCTGCAACTGCCTCAGGCTCAAGTCCAGTGTGACACCTTTGTAACAGGCAATCTTGGTGGCTAGTGGGATGATTCATAGAGCCCTGAAGCTGTTTCAGTTCAACGTCAACCTGGGGTGACGATTTGGCCTCAAATACGAATGTTTTCGACAGCTTCACTGCCGTACAAACATGATTTATTTTAAAGCCTTATTGTGAAGAAGAGATTAAGATGGACGGGGAGGGGACTTAGTGCTAGCTCACTACAGTCATTTCGAGGTGCCTATACTCCCAGACACTCATTCAGGCAATCTGGATAGAAACTGCCTACAAGAACGCCACTGATATCGGTTGACAGCCATATTTTGCAGTGTCTCCAATCAGGCGCACTGGGAATCACGCAGACATCATCCTGGAAGGCAAGTAGCACCGACAGCACCCAAGTGTTTCCTAACCGCCTTCATACCCCTCTGCCAGGTCAAGGGTTGACTACTTCTCTGCTTGCGCCACTCTGAGTTGGACATGGGAAACAGCACTCTTAGGCAAACGATGGTTCGGCAAACGTGACACATGTCACAACCAACGCAGCTTCTGGTGCTGGACACATTCTTCAATGGAAGTACCCGTTGTACAATCGAAAAGCTGTCCTCTAATAGCCATGTTACGGATTCACTGACACCAACCTACGCGAGCTATGGTTCTAAGTCAACGACTATCGAACATCTAAAGCCGTCTCAGTTTCGCTGATCGAACAGTCCGAGTCTCAGACATACAACAAAACAACCCGCACTGTAGGTCGGTACACACATTCCTTGAGATTGAGGGATACACCAATTTGACGTCATAGGTGTCTCAAGTTAGCAAACGCGGCCCGAGCCTTGCAGATTCGTGCATTCAACTCATCTGTCACACTACAGGCAGAACTAATACAAATTCCAAGATACGTAAAACGCTCCACAACTTCCAGTACCTCTCTCTGGATTGTAAGTGGCGTGTTCAGTGACTGCACGTCCACAAGCATGACCTTACACTTTCTGGGTGCAAAGTGCATACCAAAGGACGGGATGACTTTGGTCAGTTCATCCAAGAATACTTGGACCCCATCTGTCACATTGCAGTTAGAACTAATACAATTTCCAAGATACGCCACCACTTCCAGTGCCTCTCCGTGGGTTATAACTAACGTGTTCAGTGGCTGCATGTCCAGGAGCACGATCTTATGTGTTGTGGGTGCAAAGTGCATGCCAAAGGACGGAATAACTTTGGTTAGTTTATTTAAAAACACCTGCGCCTTCTCTTCAAGAATGAGAACGATGCCGTCTGCATATTCCAGATAGACAAGGTTTTCGTCACAGGCTATTTGAACACAGATTTAGGAGACCTTCCACGTTCACCGTCCAGGGTTCTGCTTCACCTGTGGGCCCTAGATGAGTGTCGGCTGGTGGCCACGACAGTTGTTCGAAGTATTCAGCCCACCGGTCGAGGCGTTTTCTTTGTTCGAGATGGTCGTTCCATTCTGATGTTGGATGGTTTCACTCACAGGTGCTTTCCGGGGACTGGTCGCACGGATCAACTAAAATAATTTCCGGGCATTACCGGCTTTCTGGGCCTCTTCCATTTATCCGGCTTTCTGTGTCTACCATACTCCACGGTCGGATCGCAAGCTCACTTTCACCTGACGTCTGATAACTCTTCGCATCGGGTTATGTTCGGGACCGGCTGGGATATTTCTTCGAGATTTAAGTAGTGCCACCGTTCGGTCTGATATCCAGTGCTTGAGTGCGCCTGGTGGTGCCATGCCACAGGCAAAATTTCCAGCAATATGCAAAGAGGTGGCAATTTTGCCCCAAAATGAGTTCACACCTGCTGGTGGAGCATTTGGAAGAAACTCTAGAAGACGATTCTGGTAAATTCGTCTAACATGCGGATCTGCCAGTCTCAATTGCCAAGCGACTTGCCCGCACCTTACGCGGCCCGAAAAAACGTAGGCAGAAGCGACCCTGGACAAGTGCGTGGTCGGTTCCTCAAGTGTATTCCAAAACGACCGACAGTCAGTTGTTGATCGGCGCCATCGGTAATTGATGGAAATGTGATCGATTTTGGCTTGTGGCCGGTATGCCGTTGGAGGATGCCATGTAACCAGACGACTTCGGCTATTTCGGAAGTTAGTACTGCATAAAACCGCTTACGATCAGCACACAGCTGAAGCAGTCGTTCACCACTGTCCTTACGTACCGACTCAAATCCATGTCGACCTCCTAATTGAGTATCAGATACGCTAAGCCTGCCCACTTCATAACTCTGGCAACCATTATTTTTAAGCTTTTAGCTCGCCGCAACGGCGTCGGAGCTATAGTCAGTTGGGGAATAATCAGACACGATAAACAGACATCAATCAACTTCCCGCGTGTGCGAGACGTTGCCAGACAAACCGCGCGAAGGCGACTATCAACAGGTATCCACTCAAGCGAGGATTCTTCCGCATGGTGACTTGGGGTGATAACAACCCCTGTACATCCCGCCACAACAGCCTGTGAATCACCACAAGTGCGTAGCCGGATGGGAGTGGAGAGTGATGGGGCGGTTAGCTCAGTGACTGTGCTTGCATCTTGAATTCAATACCAAACGAGTCCAGTTTGAGAGCCAGAGCAGGTTGTTGTTCTGCTTGTTTCAGGGTGCGGACATTGTATCGGCCAGATAGAGTGGATGTCAAGGCTTGAAGATTGATTTGGAGATACCTGACAATGTCGCAACCATGTGACGAGGAGATGCTGCACGCGAAACCGATGCGAGACCAAGGGAGTCATCAGTCCTAACTGCTGGGCCTACACGAGGAGAGTTAATAATGAAGTGGAGAGGGGGAAGAAAAAGTACGTGAAGGAAAAAGTAGGGAGGCGTCAGCACTAGCCTGTTTTTGCTTACCCGCCCGGCTGTATGCATCAAGTAAGGCCAACCGGCTGATGGCACCACGCGACGGCCGATGTGGCATGAGAGTATTGATAGTTTAGGTGTCATGATTGTACGTGGGCTAGGATACTATCTGGGCGACCACACCTACACAGGAGAACGATTAGGGTCCTCAACCACAGCCTTTGGCTCAGAAGCCTAACTACAAGGCATCGGTGTTTGGCAGGAGATACGAGTGCATTGGCATTTCTATGGAACAAGTGTTTCGGACCCCAACCCGGAGGACCGGGAGACTGTCAGACCGCTAACCATCGACCAAGCTGTTGTGGGAGACTGAGTGGGATACTCCCCAGTCTAGCTCAATGGGTCACTGAAGTGCACAAACCGTCACACCACGGTAAGGTCCAGCCTCTTCATGACGGATTTGAAGCTAGAAGACTTTTGAGAATCATTAAGGCCATCTGGTTCACAATCCCAGTTTACCTATTTCGCACCACAGGCTAACTTGGTAAAGCCTTTATCAGGTTGTATAGCTGAGGAGAGATCGAGTCTTTGCTGAGCCACAGTAATCGAAATTCGAGTTAGAATACGAATTTGGGATTGGAAGTTTGCAGTAGGTAAACACCCAGTGTTTGTTTGGTGGCTAAGCCACCAGAGAGATGCCTCAAGTGGTTAGGGCGCGAATTTACTGACCGGAAGGTCCGTGGTTCGAACCCGACCTCTGCCTCTCGACTTCCCCTGCCTAGACTTGGGCAACCTGACAGCATCCCAGCCCTCCTGCTTCCTTCGGGTGGCGTGGCAGCTAGGCACCGAAAAGGCGCTACAGCTGAACGATTATTATTATTAAAGGGGAGACAGTAGTGCGACAGAGGAATGAGTGTAAATACGAATCTCATCCTTCATGGAGGAGCAGTAGCAGGTATGTCAACCCGAAAACCGGCTGTGGATAAGGTTGTAGTAACTGAAAGCTCACGCCCGTGAAGATCAAAGGGGTAGAAGAGAAATGGGCAATGCAGCGGCGGATGTCTGGGAGGTGTGATTATTCCGTTCTGTTGTTTATGGCCGTGTTTGACTGATTAGTGAGATAGGTGGCAACCCAACCCAGGCGCTTCAAACTGCCGAACCACAGTTTGGAGGGATCAGACGAATGAGATAGGCCTCTTGAGGTCATGTGACTGTTTTCTTATACGCTATTTGCGAGGTAGCGTTACTCTTGCCTTTCCCATTTTCAGATTTGGTTGGCATGATCCAAAGTTTATTCATCATCAGCCCTTCAAAGTAAGTTGGCCCACTTATTTATCTAAACCACATTCTCCCACTACAGTGAAATATGCCTTGAGAAACACTGGTCCAAAGTAACCCCAAAAGCTGTGTGTGACCAGTTCTTCGAATCGGTTTCTCAATCGACCTCCGTAGACGAAATACCCATCGTAATCGAGTCGAACAAGGAATGTTTGATCCACGTTTCCAAGGGCAGGCTGTTTTTTGTGGCCGTTTGCGTTGATGAAGGTACCAACCATTGTCTTCTGTTGCTCATGTTTGTCAATGTAGTTCCTCCACTGTTGGTTATTGAGCTGTTGCTCAGCTTGGTCAACGTAATTGTGGATTATTTCGGCACGGTCAACGAATCGGTGATCAAGGACAACCTAGTGTGTATTTACGAAGTAAGATGAAACTGGTGTTTAACTTAACACCCTTTGAAATACCAGATTCTGGATGAAATGATTGACGGTGGCTTCCCTTTGGCAACTGAACCCAACGTTCTCAAAGACATTGTTCGGCCAGCCAATATTTTGAAGACCATCACCGATGTAGTGACGGGTACCAATTCCGCGGTCAGTTCCACCCTTCCTTCATGTCAGCTTTCCAATGTACGTTGGAGAAGGAGTCATGTGAAATACACAAATAACGAGGTATATTTTGACCTAATCGAACAGGTCAATGCGATTGTGGACAGCTCAGGAAACACAGTTTTCAAGGAGGTGGATGGATCGGTACGTGAGGCCTTGCTTACTTATACTCAACTTCCCATGCTTGCTCGTGATATATACATATATATGTTCATTTGGATTTCCGCACAATTATTGCCACACAGATAAACTACTGGGTGACCTGCTGGCTAGAATTTGGAGGATTGGAGCTTGATCTCACGTTGACTCCTCCAACTGGTCTACCTAATTCCCTCCTGGCCACATCTGTTTTTTTTCACGAATAGAGGTGGAGACAAATCACTTATGACTTGTGCTCATGATGAGAGTGAATCCTCTCGGCTAATATCACCCTTCTTATGTTCTTTACCCTCATTCTCGTTTCTTACCTTCACACATACAGATCGAATGTTTCTCGAAATTATCCGGCGCCCCTGATCTTACCTTGGCATTCTCAAACAATCGTCTGATCGATGATGCCAGTCTCCATCCGTGCATCCGTTTGCTGCGATGGGAGAGAGAGCGCGTGTTGTCGTTCATCCCGCCAGATGGGCGTTTTTGTTTGTTTAGGTACCACGTAAATTGCCTAAGGTGAGTGGGAGTCCACTACAGTGATCCGTATATCGATTCTCCCTGCAGCGGTTTTGTCGTTGTTGTGGGTGTCCCTCATAAATCTTGGGCAGTTCGTTTCTCTACAACGCCATCGGTTTCCCTCTACCTTGTCAAGTTCGTCTTGAATGCGGAGTACTGTATCTCTTCTAATTTAGTTTTATCTTCAGTATTCCGACCCTATTCATTTCATTTTAGTTCATTGAACACGATACAGAGTGCCGCTTTTCGGAGCTTTAGGAATAAGCAGCTGAGTATGGATGCTGGTAATTTGCACGCTTGCCGCCATCCCAATAACTATACAAATGAGACAGTGCTTTAGTGTAAGAAGGTGGAAGTGCACAACTTTATACCAGGCATTGACTACTCGATGGATCTCATTTAAATGCTTTCGCACAAGGCTGACCGCTTAGCATGCAACTCAGTTTGTGGACCAAAGCTGTGCTAAAGATGGGGTAGGGGAGGTATATGACAGAATGGCGGGATGATCTACCCAAGATTGGATATTAGCCAATAGGTCACTTGGTCAACATAATTCGTCAATGTTTTTAAAGCCATCTTTTCGTACCTTATTTATCCGTTGGTCTCGTTAAACTGACCTGAGCACTACTATAACAGTCGATTTTTTTCGAGACATCAGTGTCGACCTGCTGGACCGCATGTTGGCACCATGAGTAGAGAGATATTCATCGTCCCATCGATCGTATACAGCAAAAACAGTGTCATCTGATGATTTGTCATTGAAAACGGGGACTTTGATGTGCCTACCTCTCACTAGATACCTGAGTGAGCGTCGTTACCTATTGAAACGTGTCGCCTGAGGATCTTCTTCCTGACAAATGACAATCACCAGCGCGAATGATTTTTCAGATTATGACTTTTGTATTCCCCACCCTCAGACCGTACCCACCTTCTCCTTTAATGTACAAAAAACGATCTTTTGGGTAATCGTTATCGCTGTTGACAATAACATCATCATGAGAACACTTACGCTAAAACTTCCGTTTAGGCGTGTAAGTTTATTAAAGTAAGGACGAAACGAGAGGGGTAAATATACATCCCCATAGCCTAGCACAAGCACCAGTTACCTGCACCCCGAAACGTTCAGTAAGATACTCTATACAGAAACTTGCTGCAAGAGCGCCAGCTGATGAGCAAGCCAACATAGCTGCCAGTGCTGTGTGCATTTTGTGGGTGAATTATTTAATGTCCCCACCGGATATCCGTTTCTTGATCTCGTTGTGAATTAGTTAATGGCAGCGCGTTCCAGCTGTGGCTCTGGAACAGCGACGGTTGAAGGCCTGGTTTCGGCTGTTAAAGTTTCGTCCACCGAGGATAAGGAAAGTAATGGAACGATATGCAGTGGAGAGAATGAACGGTCTGTTCGTTGTTGTTAGGTTTATCTATTTTTAATGTGTGAGATGAGAAAGCTACGCATTGAAGGCAATAGTTTTGATACTGGACCGCCATTGGCTGCCTAACACAGGCGGTTATTAGGGTCACCAGTAATTTGTGTGTTCTTTTCGGGTTCGCCATTCAGGACAGACTGCACCTACTCACGCATATGAATTGACTGATAAGGGCTTTTATGCTGGTTTGCTGCTTCGTGGACCAACCAACCCTGGGTCGTCTTCATCCGAAATATCTCTGGGAGAAAAGGGCTCTGTGAGGCAAGCGGGCCCATGACATACGAAGTGCATGTCCTAAGAGGCATACTCTATGGAGTGTGACCGGTTGGTTTATCAAGCAGAGTCATTTTTCGTTGAAAACTATCAGGAATATCTCCACAATATGATCTGATGTTCCCACCAGGTCCCCGGGATGAATCGGGTAAATTGATTATCATACATGGGGTGCTCAAAGATCTGCACGCAGCGACTACATCTGTGATGCACAAAGAGATTGGTGCGCCACTCTAGTGTACATTCTACCCTACGAGCTGGTTTCACGTCGGCGTCACAAATGCCGATGATTGGTAGACGTTTTCCTAGCTTTCCTAATTCGGGAAGTGATTTCATCTTTCTCTAACCCGCCGGTATTTGTGTGATTTCCTAGATAGATAGCCTTATCACATCAATCGGTTTTTCTGGAGGCATAAGGTTTGTGTTTGATCCCGCGGGTCTCGCAATAACACTTTATACTTTTCAAGTGTGAAGCGAATTCCCGGAATTTATGGTAAAGTCATCTACGAAAGGGTGTGATCTAGCAAGTGTGATATCGTCAGTGTATTGAATGTCAGTCAGCGAAAATCCAGGAATCACGCCGATCCTTGAGGCATGCAAAGATGACTCAGGCAGCGCATCGGCAACAAGAATCTACCACTGGATGTTGTAAACTCAGGTGGGAGTTCATCGTAGACTCTCACGTCCAAAAGAAGATGCATGCATAACCTCTTTGAAGCGTGAATTTAAAGGAATGTCTTCCTCCACCAGACACTTCTGATGTCCGATGGATCTAAACAAGGCTTTTAGTTGTGCTCGATGCAATGTTGGCCAGCGCAAAACCCTATTTAGTTCTTATGATTCTGACTCCCGACGGTGTCTAGCCTGCGCAGAATACTACCAGGGAGCGTCTTGGAGGTTATAGGTGTTGGACTGGTTCCCTTGGAATTCTTTGGCGGAATGGAATCACCGTCAGTATTCCGCTTCATCTTAGATATTTTGCTGTAGAGTCTTCTGGTTGGTTGTTTGTTTTGCTGAAACAGCGAGGTTTTCCCGCGGGATTTCTATTATCCGTGAAGAACTGGTGTCGAAGTGCTTATCGGATTTCGTAATCAGTTTAACTGTACCTCAAAGTGTTCAGTCGATCTTTCGAGCTTGTGTATGCTTGTGAATGATTTGAGGTCCCATCCACTAAAACCTGGCCTCTCTGAAACAGTTGACTAGACAATTCGAAAGTGGATGTCACTTCCAGGCGCTATAGCTTTCCCTGTCTCTCGAATCTTCCCCACTCGTCAGTACCGCCAATGAATAAGCTTTTCGCCGTCCGGATGTGGGTGTGTCATCCTAGTTATTTGTTCCTGGCATAGTTCTCGTGTCGATAAAAGCTACTCTCTGTGGTGATCATCAGTGTTTATTGCTGTGTGCAGATGACCGTATACCATTTGACCTTTTGATAAGCACGCTTTTACGAGTCACAGTTGACGCAAATTGGCAACCAACTTCCGATCTTTGAGGACGTCACACTGCTACCTTGACGGATGGAATTTCGGATATACATAGCCTCCAGTGTCTCTTCCCGGACTGTCACTAGGTGCCTTGTTCTAGCGGGTATAGAGCTGATATATCTGTAGTTGCCTTGATCAGACACTATTATCGATTCACCCGGGACGGTTTCCTTCTCCTACCTAGACAAAACCAAGTTAGACAAGCATTGGCAGCATTTTACCTTCACTGTTGTACTAACTTTCAAGCGTTTGCGAATTGAGCTTATCCGGGTTTTCGTACCCATTAGGCTTTTCTATCCCGACCAACTCGGAGATGTCTTTGAAAGTCGGGCAACAGTGAAGTGCTGTTCAGGAATCCAGTTCAGCAGTCTGATTATTTTGGGAAGTAGTGGCAACGGGGAGATACATGAGTACGTGCGAGAGCAGTAGGGCATCCTACAGCAGTAGTCTGTTTTTGCATACCCACCTCATTCAGGTACGTCGAGTGAGACCACCGAATCGATGTCACCAAGCGACAGTTGATGTGGCGTGAGGTTATTTATATTTATTGCACTCGAGGAATCATGCAAACAGGGATCCTGCCATGGCGCCTAAACTCAGGAGGATGTTTAGGGTCTTCAACCAAATTCGTTGGCTCCATGCAATGTGACTTTTAAGGAACAGGTCGGTACACGTGTTTCCACACGATTTCGGAAGACCGTGTTGGTCGGGTCTCCATTTATTGGACAGTCTGGTGTGAAATACCCTACGACTGTCACGCAGGCGCTTCCAATAGGTTACGAAGGCACATGAACCGGCACACGATGACAAGTCTCAGTATTTTCTTACTATGAGGAAGTTGATTTAACCCTTAGCCCAGATTAACAGACTGTATTCATTCCATCTGTTGTGTTTGAGTCTGTTCCTTCAAAAATCAGCATTTCAATTTGACTAAAGTAGACATCAATGATCAAACCATAAAAGGTACGTGTGATGTCTTAGTTTCCATAAGTGCCTGGAAAACTTCATGGCGTCATTGCGCTAAGGTTTATTGTACATCATGATGTTCTGCATTGTTGGGTGAGCAAAGTACAGATGCCAGCTGTAGACATCGTTGACAACCGGTGTCAACGTAGGAATTTCGGTCAAGTCCTGTCAGCGGATGTTCAAAGTGGAATTTCTGTCTTTGATTCTACTGGTTCGTTCAGCTCAATTAAAAGCAAATGTCTACACTCATAGTTTTCAGGTGGCTCGATTTTCTCTTTATGCAGACCGTGCTAGCTTGATTGGTGTGCTATGCGGTGAAATTCCTCCCCCAATTTTGTCTCTTCTTGATTGTATAGTTTACTTGTAGAACTACTAATGTTCCCTAGGACTACACTAATCACAACACAGCTGCTTGTTGTCGATGCTATTATCCTGTTTTCTTCTATTATCCCATCCCACAGCCCTCTCACCCTTCCAGTTATAGTACGTCACAGTATATCACTTCGCGAGCAAGGCAGTCGGCTGGACTTGGTTGTGATTCCGAAGACACTTGGGCGCACCGTGAGTGAATGAGTGAATGGAATCTACGTGGGCACAACTTCCATTATATCCTTGTGAACTAGACTAGTTAATGGTGCTGTTCACCACTGCTAATCTTGCGTTCCGCTAATGTAAGCCTTCCTGTCGAAAAATGGCTTTTCAAACGGCACTAGGCTACCTGTATTCTTGCCTTAGGCGAAGCTCTCTCGTGCCCCCATATCTTCTGGACCATTCGATGTACATGACATAGACAGACTACCATCACTCGATGAAAATGTCTTCATTGCTTCCAACTATTACTACGTTCACTTGTAGGGGGATGTATTTTTCGTAAAACGCCCTCCCAAACCAAACGGTTGGATGTATTCCTGTAGATTCATGCATTGGTTTTGGAAGTACTTCCACTCTAAACAGACCTATGAAAAAGCGACTGTGACGCTGGTCCATGGATGAGGGTACATGTTACGTCAGATATGAGTCACTTTTGCGATTTCAACCTCGTTAACCTCCACCTTGTGACTCATTGATTAACTTGTGAAATCGACCATCACTCGTTCCTAGAGTTCGGGGACGAGACCTCGCTTATTCTGAGTGGAATACAGTTTTTCGTTCGATTGTCTTTGTAGTATAATCCACTTTTCATTGACTGTGCCGTTGACCACAGGAGGCAGTAACCACATGGGTCCAAATCCGTCGGGACAAGGTGTAACACTTTAGATAGTAGGGAAGAAATGTTAGATATTTGCTTCAAATTTACATAAGAACCCCGTCCCCAGAAAGATACCTTAATTTGATGTCCGTTATCAGCAGCTGCAGGAGGCCCATCCAAGGATACTTAAACATTCGGTGGTCTTTTGATGACCCATCGGAACGAATGACAGGTACACAGCAACCGTTTCTCTCTCGGCACGTTTAGAACAGCTGTTTCTATAAGATCTGAGCTGTTTCCGCGTCTGTTCACTTATTCTGTGATGCTTGGTCATTTCCACCGCCTCGGCTATCAGCCGATATGGTGTGAATCGCAGTCTGCTTCTTAAAACTTCCGCATTCCCCAGGCTGGTTCAATGTTTTGCGTTTAACGCTGTCTTTAACCAGCGTTCCTTGGTGGTTTGTTCATCCTCCTTTCATGCTCACCAATTCTGGTGTGCAATCCTGTGACAGCTTATCCTATGTTAATTTTAGTGCAATCGTTGCAATTACTTTTGTACACACAGTCCCTAGTTCTTTCAATCTGGAGGGGATCTTTCAATTGCACCAAAACTGAGCGTAGCATTTTTCCCTTTCGGTAGGCTACTCGAATGTTTGCTAAGTTAAGCATTCTTTGAATAACCTATGTTCCTGCTTTATATGAAATGACTACTGTTTCAATCCATTCCTCACTTGGTCTAGATCCTGAAGCCAATTCCTGCTTAATTGCAGCCTGATCAAACTCATTGGGTATCCTATTTCTCGGAGTCTGTTGGCAATCTCGATTTGAGTTACTGTTCGATCGATCTCTTTTGTGCACAGCGCTCTGACTAAATATCGATGAGACAGTACAGCCGCACACGGACTTTGGGTGTACTGATGTCGATTTTGTCTGTTGGTATGATAGTTTTTAACTTCCCAGCACTCTTAGGTGTTATACAGTCCAGGAAGGGTAATGTGCCCGAAGTGGCGCAAGAACAAGGTCCCGCGATGGAATCTCCAATATCCTCAGTTTTAGATAATATTTACATGAAGGACTTTGAACAAAATGGCACCGTCTGCCATTGATCCAAGCTGTCTGATAGGCGTTTAGTGAACACCCGTCAACGTCCATTGTGCTTCTATGAAATGCCTGAACACTGGCCACATTCGGTTATGCTCCTACGGCGTGCCTGAACACTCATCGGTTTTCGCTTCTGAATGATTGACTGGCCTGGATGCTTGTCGGCTTCCTATTGAGATTTGGGTCGCGCTTTAGGGTCTCAGTAGGTTCCGGGGACTACTTTCAGGAATCTGACCTTCCTGATACCTCCCCCTTCTGGTCGTTCAGCATAAGGTTTTCGGCACGGGTCAAGTTGAGAAGGTTCCACAAGTTTTCTGGCGCGACCGGTACGGCGTCTCGGACGGTTCATGTGAAGCGGTGACTGTTGGTGCTGGTCTTGTATGATCAGAAGGTTAAAGAAGGAGGTTGAGGTCTATCAACTGTTCTTCCGCTTTCTGAATCGGGCACTCGGTCGGCCGCAACTGATTGATGTGCCGCTTCCATATCGATTATCCCACTTGGACTCTATAGATCACGTTACCGATTCTTTCGAGGATGACTCAAGCAGTCCACATTCGGTGCCTGGGGCGATAGACCCTCACAAGTACATGGTTTCCAGGCCGGAACGTTGGCTTCCCTCTTGTCAGTGTTGATAAACATAAGTTTTCGATCGGCAGTATTGAAAGATGCAAGCGATCGATCCAGTCTACACCTAGGAGATTGACCTCACAAGCAGCAAGAGAGACGACACCACGATCACGGTGGCTGTAATCTCCATCTCACACTCGAATTCACCAAGTAGTTAAAGCTTACCACCTGAAGCAGGCCTGAGTTTTGGTGATCCGATCTTTCTCCAGGCTCGCCGGGAAACATTCATAGTATCGGAAGCCGTATCGAGCTGCAATTGAATCGTGCATCCGTTTGCTCTGATCGTAACGTAATTGTGACGAGCATCGATCTGACTATCAAATGTTGCAAGTATTGCGTTAAAACGGGGTTCTGACTGGCTCCGTCTGTTTTGTGAACTGCGGGTTCGACTGCGTCTTCGGCTAGCTTTTCACGTCCGGCACTGGCTTTCCTTGTGCCCACATCTACTGCACGCTGAACACCAGTACGCCAGTATTGAGCCACTCACCCTAACCCTTATTCTACCTCGAGTTCAATTTATCTCTGTTTTGATTCAACGGCATCCACCGCGTTTGCTTTCCCCTCAGATGGAATCCGTCCGGTTGACAATGCACATGCCCTCCACTGTGGTGAACGTGAATGCCACACCCAGTACAGGCCGTGTGATGTTTGACACAACAACCAGGTTGTTTGAGTGGAACATCGGTCGCATCGATTCGAAACATTCCAACCCCACCTTGAAAGGCAGTGTAAGTTATCACGTTTTTCTTCATACCCCTGTCTCCAACTGCCATGAAAGATTAGGGTTCCCCATCGTCCTCACTTGGTTGTGAGAATGACTCATAGCCCATCATAAACAAGAGATTTAGCTTGGTTCCAGGTGAGTCTTCCGTCAAAATACTAATTCAGTGTACAAATGAGTGTATTTCACTGACTCATAGTCCAATTTTTGTTGCAATACAAATCATCTTGAGAGTTCCTAGAAGGTTCTTTGGAGGTCTCAATGTTTCAGAGGCTCGGAGGTGTCAAACCCCCGCAGTGCTGGCTGTGAATAAATTTCATCTCGTGTATGACACATTTGACGTTCATATTACCGGTCGTAGAAATAGAACGTTGGTAAATGTCAATGCATTTACACATTGAGATGGACTTTTTTGGATCAGACAACATCCAGGGTTGTGCATGATTGTCATCTGCATGTTGAAAAGGGTGCGCAGAGCTGGAGATTATTAAAGTATGCTGTGAAACAATGGCGTTTAGCCTCTTATTTACAAAGACGGGAGTGTTTTTTTCGACGGAATCCTTTTGAATGGTCGAATTCACAACCAGTGATCGCAAGCAGAAAAACCTAGTCATCGTATTTCAATGCACTCCAGTATATCGCTGCAGTGAATTGGATGACAGTTTCACTGAAAGCCATCTTAGTCCTTGCTGGATATTCCTCCAGTTCTCAGAAGTTGTTACCGCATTTGCGGCAGGTTCAATGAGCATTTCTCCCGGACTGACGATTGCGATCGCTTCATGTAACCCCGCTGAACAGCCAATTCCCGGTACTCAGCTTTATGCAAGCAAAAACCACCAAGAACCCTTGGCAACCATGTGAAGCCCAGCTGTTATTACTAGTTGCTGTCAGCCCCTCATCCCAGAATGCCTACTGCTAAAGACACTCGCCAATGATATCCTCCTATCCTTGCTTTGCAAACCGAGTTACGTGCTTTAGTCTGAACTAATGCATTGTCGCCACAACGCTATCAATGGACGATTCTTTATCTAAACAGACCTGAACGGGCTCCTAAACCGTCACTGTCTGAAAGACCGATTCGAACGAGAGACAGTTTATAAACGCGGCTCTTTGCGCTTACCGATTTCATCATATTTGTGCGCTGATTAACAGCAATAACAAAACGGCGATCTTAATACTTCGATGGTTAGTCGGCGTCAGTGAACTCATTGATTCTTTATTGGGTTCGCAAGATCCTCCGTTCGCCGCGATCCAGTGTTTGTCGATATTCCGTTTGTTTGATCCAAATTCGTTCTCACTAGGAGTGTTTTTTTGTACAACTGCATCATTTAGTGCAGGAAAACCGAGAAGTTCACTACAGCCATTTCATTCTTGTCGGCACCAAATTTCTTATTTTTTCTAACGGTCCCTATACTAATCATAACTTGTAAATAATTTGGCCAACGAGTAATGATGCAAAATGACACATGTACTACTGAATTTATACCGTGCAACCAATGTCTTTATGTGGCCGTGCATGAGTTTGCTGTCTTTATGATTTTGTAAGGCCTCAACGAATCGCGGATCATTCATTGTTGTTCATTTGCTGGTTTATCGCTGATGTGAAATCTTTCGGTCGGGGTGACTACCTCGGGGCTAACCCAGCTGAAATCTAGGAGCGCGAACGGATCCTCTTAAAACCCTAGCATGCAGCTCCACATTCAAGCATGTGATATTAAAAACTAAATGTTTTCTTGTTAGGCTATTCCAGGTTTGTTAGCTGCGGAGCGGACCTTCTGAGTAAGCATCCAGTAGTTGTCACACTTCCAAAGCTGTTCTTTTGTGGGCGTAACTGTTCGGACGCTTATTTCTGTTACGCAACCCCTTACGGACGAGGTGTTGTCATGTGATCGATGTCCAACTCCTAGGGTCACAGACCCACCATGCTGAATTGTTCAAATGCATCTTTACTTAGGGGGAATCACAGACTATTTTGGAACTAGCCACTTGAGTTGTACTCACTCCTGCCTGAAAGGCAATATCTTGGGTTCATTGAATATCCTTTCCATCTATCCAAACGGCAAACGTTTTTCGGGCCACTTTGATTTACTTCAAAGGTGCAAGTATGAGATTTTTCATCCAGATCATCTGCTACGTGCATGGTGGTCTGATGAAATCTGTCACGTGTTACAGCCATGCGTATACCGTTACCCTTGGCGTTGTGTTGACTGTAGGTATTCTAAAGTGTCCATCCGAATTTCATGTTGCAGGTGGTTAGTACCTCACGCATCCCTAGAGGAATTTAGACACACTAACTTTAAACAATCTTTTTGAAAGAGAAACATCCTACAACTTGTACAGACTTTACATCTGAGAACTCACTAAGCAAACAGGCAGTCGAAACTGGATTCATTGACATGATTGCAGGATAAGTGGCGCTGCATCCTATTCAGCTGACATACATGTATTACTTATCAGCTCCCTTTGGCCAGATGACGAGATGGCTCAGTGTTTAGAACGCGAATTTACTGATTGGAAGGTCCGTGGTTCAAATCCGACCTCTGCCTCTTGACGGTGTTACAGCTGAACGTTCCTTAACCAGGTATCATGGGCTTTATGCAATGACTGGGTCCAAATCTTTGTAAAGAAGTGTGTACAACAGACTAAAAAAGCTACACAGTGCTCCTCGGTATTTGGACATTTTCCAGCCTCGCCTAGTAATCGTTTAACTGTGGCATACTTTCGGCGCATAGACGTCTCGCAAGTCGAAGGAAGCACGATCGCTGAGCTACTGCTGAGTTGCCCAGTCCAGACAACAGCAATCAGAATGCCACGGATGGATTCGGTCATACACCTCTCAGCCAGCAATTCGCACCTCAACCACTGAGCTATCTCGATCTCTAGCCTTCATCTGCAAGCTGCTGTCTTGCATGAATAGTTCAGTGAACGACAATGACTGCCGAATCGATTCTGCCTCCCTTAGTTGCGCATTTAAAACTGTACTACTGCAACATCTTAAGTAGTTTGAAATATTTCATAGTGAATTCGTCCCTACTTTTCTCAGCCGGATGGGGCTTGAAAACACTGTACAGTGCTCGGCATTACTTTGTGCGTCATAAAGGGTAGAATCCGTGAGCTCACACAAATGACCAACAACCCACCAGAAAAGTCAAGATAGTGTGAATTGCCCTCCGTTTGTTATTTTAAGGATATTTTGCGCTGCATTTTTCGTGGACACTTTGGTTACGTGTCTCTTGTTTGTCAGCGATTCCCATAGTAGTAAGAGAAATTCATGCACCAGACAAATCGGTTTTAGGGTTTTGCCTTTATGATCAAGCTACCTGTCAGAAAACATGATTATCGCATCAGAATTGCCGTCGCGTAACTCATACTCTGGTTCTTGGCTTTTTGTTCAGAGCAGTGTGGTGTATCAGATTCGTTATGCATGGATTTAGCGTTACGGATGCCGCAATATGGCAGTCACAAAATTCCATGAAAATTCGGGTTCGAGTGTTCTTGAGCAGTGAGAAGGTTACTCCGACCGAATTGCTTCGGTCGATTGAAAAGTTGGACAAATGGAGATTTGATTCTAATTCGCTCGTTTATGGGTTCGTTACTATTAATATATGCCAACGAAACCTATTGCTTGGGCTCAAACAGTGATAATGGAAATTACCGCGAATCACCCTCAAGTTCGCCGCCTTCCTCCATATTTTTGAGGTTACTTAAAAGTGGTAGGGTTGCTTACAGAAGCGTGGATTTCGGTAGAAAAGTTACCTATTTGAGTCTACTTCTAAAAGGTGAATTTCAATGCAATACGAGGTTAAACATTCCACCGTTTGCCCGCCTTGCTTGGATTAACGATGGTGTGGTTGCAAATGGAAGTGAACTGGATATGAATACTGTCGCTTGAGTTCCACGGAGGAGACAAAGAGTCGAAGGAATACCCCACTTGACGTTTAATCCTAGAAGCCTAAAATGATTCCGTATGGTTACACGTAGGTATTACGCGGTCTGGTTTGACATGTTCATCGATTAGTAAAAGCTTTTTTCAGCACAGAGAACTCGCATTGAGTAGCCAGATTCTACGCCCCTAGAATTTTCTACGGGCGGTTTCTTATAAAGATGTAACACTGTTCGCAGTGGAGAAAGAATTGAGAATCACCAAAGCCGCTTCCTCGGAAGAATTTCTTAGGTAAAGGTTTACAAATAAAGGGAGGTACTGGGTTTCTATCACCTAGAGGTCTCACGTAACCCTTTAGAGATACGAATCCCTATTCATTCGTTCGCTCAGTCGGCTGCGCCCAAGATGCTAAGGTCCAGATAGAAGTACACACTTGAAGTCGCAAATAGACTTCCCGTCAAACCAATGCGATCCCCACGCAAACTACGCATTGTGGATCAATCAGCAGCCAATATGTGATCGCAACCAATAGTTGTCATGTAATTTGGCACGTGCTTTCTCTTACATTTTTGGTGCCGAATTTGTTATTTATCTGCAAAACTGTATTGTCCTGGAACTGTTTCTCTGTTTAAATAGCAGGGTTAGTGCTAGGGTGTATTTCTCTGGACGTCATGCTGCTCTGTATGGCTTCCTGTATGTTGGGATTTCAGAGAGCTCCACACAAAACCATGTGTATTATTTCCAGACATTCAAGTTGATGCGCATATATGGACTTTGCGGTTGTTGACTCGTTTTTGAACCCTCGCGTCAACCTGTATGATTCTACTGGAGGTTACCAGCGGAGAATCTGTTGAGTGGTGCTGTCGCTTTTCGGCTTTGATCGATAACCTAGTGAGATTAGGTGACCTCCCAGTATATCATTTTCCCCCGGCAATCCGCGCACCATTCTAAACAGTTTTCAGTGTTAAAGTTCCATCCAAGGTGGAGTTATTCTGAATCGCTAGATAGTCACACAAGTGGGCTTATTCACTTTGCTATAATGTGATGGCACAATTTAACTCGGATGCTTCCATCGGAATTCTCCGGTGAAAAGGTAAAACAACTGAAAGACAGTACCTGGGACTTCTCCAACAAAGACTACAGTGACACCAGGCCTTTGGAAGAGGATAACAGGTTGACCACCTGCTCTACACATTGCCCACTTTATTTGTACAATGTATTTGTATTGTACTAGATTGTGGTTTTGAATTTCGGTCCCAAGGTTGCACCAGAGCTCCGGATTATCTCTGTTTCAACACTTCATAAAACAGGTTACTCCTGTTCCTCCTCAACGGCGACGCTTAAGTGGACCCACTTTGAATAAGAGTAAAAGCACCTTCCCTGTTGCCATTTTCACTTGAGGAGGATCACACAAATGGAGCTCATTTCGTTTTCTTAGTCTTTAATTTGGCATACCTTGGAGATTAGTCATTTCTTATCTCACTCAAAATCTATCCTCCCTTTTTTGTTTTCAATTTGTCGGTTCAGGTAACACTTAGTCCTGGGGTCAGTGCTGCGCCAGGTAACCCTTCCATCATGGTGCATTTCTCCGTCCCTCAGTATGCAGTTTCAGGTCTGAAGATCGCTCGGGTCGATATCTACGCTGAGGTGAGTGACCGAGGCAGCATTTTAAGTCCACAAAGGTTTACTTCCACTCTCGCAGTTTTTTGTAGATACGCCCGTTTTAATCGTAGTTGGCGTCTGCGAACTTTTGTTGCCCGCATTATCTGTGTGACTGCTTCTTATCGTCTTCAGGATGAGAGCGGTCGTCGGTTGACCCCACAAATTCATTTGAAGGACGATCCAATCCTGCCTGCTTCATTTTCAGACTACTGAACAGGACCGGTCAACTGGTTGGGTTGATCGGAAACTCCATTTCTTATACATAGAAAGAACTTTTCAGCCCGTGGACACGCCGAAATCAGAGAACTAAGAAGCTCATTAATTTTAGGTAGCTGAAGTCTAGCGTGGCAAATTCCGTAAGTAGCATTTATGTGTCATTGTAAATTCCTGGGTGTCGGTGGATAGACGCAATAGTTAAACAACGGACACTCAACTGAACGCGTTTCCAACAAAACTGGTTCGGGTGTAGCGACTTCCTCTTACCCAGGAATAAATCCGGTGGGCCAGATTTGTCTGAAACGAAATGGAAGACCTTGAGATCAAGCAAGAATGTTCAAATTCATGAGCAATGTAGTTATTTGTGGAATTCTGTTAATAAACAGCATAACAGAAGTAACACTAATCCGCTGCGTGAAGCACACGCGCGCAAATATTGCGCTTGTCGCCGGTTCACCCCCGCAATTGCACATCAGTCGTATAACCGTCTAAATTATGGACACCTCGAAGCAGCTGCCGGAATTTTTGCTCAATACACAGCATAGATTTTTGATGAAGTTTTCGCAGACGGACGAGACGATCGCCTTCAGAAAATACTGTGCTTCCCCCGAGGAGGGGGACATCGTTTTGTGGTTCGCACACGAAATTTCCCACCACAGAGGTCAAAGTTAGCGGTTCTCTGTAGAGGATGTACCTCCCATATGAGCATAAACGGCTTCGGTCCTAAGTTTACTTGCAGGAAAGCACATGTTGCCTCCCAAAAGAGGTACTTCTGAGAAGACAGGATTCCAGACACCCAAGCATCATGGGTGAATCCACTACCCTCTAATCAGACCTACATGTTTGGCTGCTTGGTCAGATTTTCCTCAAAACCCGTTGAGTTCAACCTGAATAATGCTGTCAGTGTCGCTCAATAATTACTAGGTTGCATCTTGGATTGGGGCTTCCGTTGCCTAGCCATTGTTGATAGAAATTACCCAGCTTATGGAACTGGTATTTCAGTGCGTTGATACATAGTGCGTAGAAGCTCGATCGTGATTATTTTGTCTGGCGAAACACCTCACCCCGAAAAAACGTGTTGGATATGACCTTGTGTTCAGGTAGCCTTGGGATACTCTATGGATCAGAGGCGTGGCCTCTACGTGCAAAGGACATACGAAAGATGTCAGTGTTTGACCATCGGTGTCTCCGAGGCACTGGTCGGGTGTGGGAACGTCAGATTAACAATGCTTTAGGCACTCCATGCGCTCCTGGGAAGAAGGAACTGTAATACTGTAGGTACTCCATGCGCTCCTGGGAAGAAGGAACTCTTCCGGCACAAGTGAATTACTCAAGCTTCATAGTTTACGCTGGTTAGGACATGTATTCCGCGTGCCAGAAGACCGTCTGCCTCGCACAACTATTCTCCCCGGCCCTGTGCTGAATGCGAACGACTGAGAGGTGGACAGCGTATAAGCTGACAACGAACTTAGTCAGGTCGGCAACAGCCGACTCCTTGGATGGGGACCCCATTACTTAACTCACCATTAGGCAATGACACTGGTAGAAATGCCAAATCGTGCAGTCGGTTGTGCTGGTGCATCAGAACTGCTGTCTTCAATACATAGCTACTCAATTTTCGAAATAACTGGACATACCATCGCCTCAAAGGCTCGGTTGTATGTCTCACACTCCTACTTCCTGTTGATGGAAACTGTAGCAGCTGGAACCTTTGTGTCTATGTCACATGGTTTATAGCTGATTAATTGATTGGTTATTTGTCTTGGGACGCTGTCCCAGTCGGTTTCATACACGTTTTCATGTCTAAGACGCGCATTGCAGGTACAGCCCTCCTCAGAGGACATCAATGAAACGCCTGTACGTCTAGTTCTGTAACACATGAGCTATGATATGTAGACAGGGTTCGGAGTTCCCTCTGGCAGCCCATATGCTCCACGATGAGACAACTTTCGATGAAATCAAGAAGCACTCGACCGTTCTTCAGAAATGTGGTGAGTAAGAGAGCAGAACTCGCAATAAATCGAGAAAAACGCGTACCTTAAATGTGTTATGTGCCCGGAATATCTCACCTTACTCAACAAAGTTCGAATGTAAATATGGTCAAACACATTACCGAAGCAACTGATGACAGAGACGATGGATCGTTATTCTGTTACTTGTTCTACGCAGTAGCGGTATCAAGCTTTCTGGTGAATAAGTAGAGCAACTGCCGATGTACGTTTTCACAGTGGTTGATGTGTACTCCACGAACAAATACCATAAAAATGTCTCTCAAAGGCGAATGCTTTCAATGTGATTGCGAGAGAGCGCTCACCATTCATGAGCAGCACTGTAATTTCGTTCCTCCTGATGATCTCCCGTGGATTGAAGTATCGTATGTGAAGTTTCATTTTTAGGAACTCGAATCCGCTAGACACGTAGCTTTTGGTATTCTCTTGAATCGGTTCCACTCAAAAACATGTATAATGCCAGATGCGGTAGATAAGATAGATACGTCCAGTTTTCTTGGTGATGTTTTTCCGTCCACTACACAACTGGGGGAATAGAATGTGGTCTAGGAAACTTTTGCGTCATCTGTGACTTTTGGATGCCTGAATTCCACTGTCTGCCTTACGTGTCTGTTCTTTAGATCGGGTTGATTGATCACAATCGCTCTGTTTCTTTTTCCTCATGCAATCTTTTTTCATTTTCAGAAATACAAACCCTTTAAAGGTGTCAAATACCTCACCTCGTCGGGAAAATTCGAAGTGCGAACATGACTCCCTTTTCCCGGATGATTTTCCTTTTTTACTTATGTTCTCTCCCTATGTACTTTTGTTGTCTTGTGTTTTTGATCTTCACTCGTTTATACCGTTGTCTTCATATTCAACCTATGTTGTGTCTGTGATACGGACTTACGAAGAGAAAAGACGCCAAACTGGCGCCGTCATAGTTCGCACTCACTTTTCTGATCCAGCTGATAGCTTTGTCTCCCTTCCTGGGTTTGTCTGGGCTACTCTTCAGTAAACGAAGCGATAGCGGGGTAGTGCCGCTTGATGGAGTAATCTGCATAGGCTGGAACGGTTGCATTAGGTCCCAACGTTAGATGCTTCTTGGGTAATGCCTAGGTCAACCTTCGGTTGAATGAGAGGTTTGGAAATGAATATTAGTCGAAGAACATTGAAGGCATTTCGGAGACCTTGAAGGTCGGAAACGCCCAGGCCCAAGCAGGCAATCAGAAGTGGGAACTGAAAAGTTTCGCCCGTAGCGATCATTAATATTCGATGAGTAGTTAATTGGCTTCTAATAAGTTCATAGGTCGGGACTAGAGGTGCGCCCATTCAAGCTTTCCACGAATTGGCTGATAGCGATACACGGAAAAACCAGTAACTGTACAGCTAAAATCACTGGTGCGGTAATGGCATATAACTTCGATGACGAAGACATCACATGAGTAAGTCAGGGTACTAGCCGTCTTGTGCACTCTTTGATTAGCAGGGCAAGCCACATGTCGCAGCAGGCATAAGCAAGCGACCAAGTGTAAATCAATTACTTGCAGACAGACCTGTCTATTCATTGAATTGAGCAGTTCAGTGCATCTCTTTCACAGCTATTATAGTCTTCATGCCAGTTCGTAATGTCAGGACGATTGTTGGGCACCTATGTACCCTCAAGTTTATCACTGGTAGCCAAACACAAGAGCGTTCAAAGAGGAATTAACGAGGGATGGGCTACCAGGAAACCACGTGGTATTCAGCAAGAGTAGTTTAATTTTTATATGAGGTTGTAAGATCGACACGCTATCACAGAAGAATCACCATTTTGGTTCCCAAACGTTCCATCACGTGATATTGGTTCCTGTTTTAGGTTCAGCGGTTCCTTTACAAGGGGGATGTTAAATTGTTCCTCGGTAAGAGTCGTATATTATTAACATGGAAAGGAAGTACGAAGTCTCTCTAGGTTCATCTGCGTCTGGTCAACGAAATGCCTTTGGGTGATCCCAGTGATAAACAGTAGGGCGATAAAATCAGCCGCACTGTGTGCGCAAACATTTACTGACCTTCATTATGTAAAACTGAGACATATCAATGCATCACTGAGGTTTGCATGTATCCTTGTCATCGAGGCCTGTCATCCTGCGGTGAGAGTAATTATTCCGTTGACTCGAATAAAAACGAAGATAATTGCACTGTGGACATATACTCCAACCTTATGCCAAAACGATCAGTATCGTATTACATCATTATATCCATAAATGACGGGTTATCGTGTGCTGTTTTGTCCTGTTGTCCAGCTTCTGTGACACTAATGTGCACTGCCATTAGCTTCCATGGCCGGAAATTCTTCCTCAAACTATTGGTAGACTTAATCGGGCCAAATTCATGAAAAGCGGTGGTGTAACCGGAGGGGTTGGGAAATGTCAGAGACACTAGCGATTTCTGTGCGGTATCCAGACAAATGGCAAGGCGTATTCCCATTGCGGTGCTTCTCCCAGGGGATAGTTTCGCCAATTCTGAAACCAGGGAGTGGCTTCTATGCTACGGCGTGAAGATTATGTTGGCTGACGCAGTAGGCAACACAACGGTCACTGGGAGGTCTGTTGGTTGCAACTACTCTGAGGTTATATGTCTTTATGCCTAACTCCATCTCAGATGACCACCATGATTTACGAGAATCGAGGTTTAACACCTCGATTTCTTCCTTGCGTTCTTACGTTGTTGTAATCTAATACAGTAGTCCACCCTCGAGTGCGAGTGCTTTCTCGACGGTAGTTTCCTCTTGGGAATCGGTACAGAGTGGATCATGTTTACGTTTTGCAACCATTTGGGGGACCTGGTATCCTCACCACCTTTGATAGCATCAAACCCCTAAGATCTGATATTCCGGGACTTTTTGGGCTACCTGAGATTCACAAACCAGATCTGTGGTATGTTCGAATTCCCACATTATGGCATGGACAAATAGCCAGCGGAAATCCTTCAGACACGTTTGCATTCTTAGATGGGGACAAGGGGCATATGACTTCGTTCGACATACCCAACATCCCGTTCTTAGAAACCATCCGTTATCTCTGTGACTACATGAAAAGAAAAAACATTCCAACTAACGATCTGGAAGAATTATTGTTGCGATGTACATTTGATGTGCAATGCCAGCTCAACGAAATGTACCAACAAGTTGGTGGTATCGCTGTGGGTTCTCCATTAGGCTCGCTCCTTACCGTTGATTTAATGGGAAATCTTGATAACTATGAAGTCCGCTTAAGTATAGGAAAGATCCACCTCTACTGGCGATATGTAGAAGCCTGCCACCACAGACAAGTCCTTGGGGCTACCACGAACTTTAGTGAACTAGTCAAGCAGACCATTCAGTTTGCACCCGAAGAGGAAAACAATGAGTGTATTTCGCTAATTTCGTACATTTTGGTTTCAATTAGAACATAAGGTTGACGGAAACTCGAAGACTGCGCCTACCTGATGAGCCTCAAGAAGGGCGAAATCGGTCGTGGGCTGTCGAAGAAATCTCAGCAACCTTATGAGTAGCACATTACGAATATATACATGTACCGCGATATCTCGATTATCGCACTAACTGAAACATGATGTGGCTTAGTGCAGCTTATTCAGCTGCCTGGAGAGATCATAAACAGGAGATCCGGCTGGGTCTCTCGCAAAACCGATGTTTGCAAATGAGTGTAGTTCGCTAATGACTCTTTCCATTTCCTGGTCGTGCAGCTGCTAAGAGCATCTGCTGGCTCAATTAGACGATCGGTTTGCAGGAAGCCAACCTTGACGGGACAGCAGACTAACTTCAGCAAGCGAAATTCAGTTTGCTATCTTGCCCCGCAGGGCAATAAAAATTTTCTGAAAACCTGAAGCTGGACCTCACTCTCTTGCTTGCATACTCCGCGAAATGATTATTCGGACAACTCTATCTCAACATACACGGTTGTTTCGACTAAGAAAGCCAAACCAACACAATCAAGCAGAAATCCACCATTATCAGTCTTCCTTTCAAGGAGAATCTGGCTGCAGGCTATCTGACTCAGCGTCTACATCCCACATTTCGGAAAACCGTTCTGACCGTTTCATTCCCCATATTTGAGCATGACGAACACTTGTCATACGGACGACTTTGTGGTAGGTTTCGCCGCTTCCATTTTACACTTAGTTAAGGGGGTGTTGTCACTGTCGAATTTTTCGAAAGACGAAATGCGGCTGGCGGAAAGTTTTTCCACGGAGCACGCCACATCTAGTTTAACTCTGCTACGTTGCTCAGCACATCCTAATACACCTCTAAGCAACCAACAATCATACTGATGATAACCTCAAGAACGGCCGTACGAATTCTACAAAATACAAAGAGAAACTGATTTCAGACATACTTTCGTCAAGTGCCATGGCATATCGAGGTCCGGCCGGATATCGCGCCATCCTGTGCGTGAGCTGGGGAAGATCTGATCACAGCCCTGTTAGGCATCAAGCTAAACTGTACCTACCAGCGTTGCACTACCGTAGCGGCAATGATGGGCACTGCAGGCCCAACCATTCCGTTCTACCATGAATCAGAAAACGGCGTCAGTTGTACCCTGAGCGAAAGTGACCATCACGACAGTATCGTAACATGGATTTTGTCTCCGACATTTTCAGGTAATCGCGCCGCTCCTGTTTACTTCACCAGCATGCACAATTGGCCACGGAAAAGTTACATGTTGGAACAAGCATCTTAGTGAACACCGATGCACCGATTTGGTCAATAAGTGGACAAAAGTGATAGCATCCATATCACGTGGTTTTTCAGGTGCATCCAAAGTGGTGTTGGCACGCTCGCTTTCTCTTTCGGGTGCCGGATGAATGAAAAGCGTGTCCAGTTTTACAAAAGGCACCACTAAGCAGCATTGGTCTACAGGTTCATGCAAGTAGTCGACATGAAAGCAAGCACATTTGAAATGAAGCATTACACCATAAAGGAAACTACTCACAAGGTCGCTGAAAACGAGCGATTCAGTTGAGTCTCTCGTGAAAACCAACCTGATTTGCAAATGAGTGTATCTCTCGAAGCATTACGCCGTTTTTGTGGGATAATGAACCTTGATTCATTGATGGGTCTGCAGCAGTAATCCTCAGCCCTAGAGCACTCAATCTCCCGATTCCGAAGGTCTTTCAGAGTTTCGACAATGCAACGGAAATCATACAGCTTTGACACTGCTGTCCGATGCACTGGTGATCAACTTCAAAGAAACTAACGTTTCCTGCAGCAACGATCCTCTTTCACTATGGTACATGTATTGTTTTATCGCACGAAACGTGACACTATGAAGTGCCGTGTGTATAGCTGTACTCCAGTTGCTAGCCACCCATGTGGGTTTGAGTGACAAACGGATGCAAATGCCTTAAAGCAGAAAGAAAGTAAAAGACATTATGGGAGAGTTGAAAATCTTTTGAAAAAATTTCAGAAAATAACCAAAATCTAGCATGACTTGTTATTGCGCTCCTGGCGGAATTTTTCTGTTGATTTTAAGTAAAACCAGTAGTAAGTATCGGTCACAACGTCGTGAATAATCTCCGAGATAAACCAAGCATCAAAGATACTAAAAAACAATTGAAATGTAGGTAAAACTCGCTATCACCACTTTGCAAGTATTACGTTTCCTAGGGCGATCGATTTCATTCCGCACCGGATGTGGTCATTGGAGGGGGCAGGAAGCGGCATAGAAGTGCCTAAACTATTCATTGGTTTTTAGATTTAAACAGCCATGGATCCGAGGTTGTCACATATGGATTGAGGTATCACGGAAGTTGAATGAGCAGAATTTCCTACAAGCAGTAATTTGGGTTGGGATTTAGTAATTGGAAGGGATACTCTCGTTGAGAAGTTGGTGAAGACGTGAAGTGTTTTCAGGAAGAAACGACTGGACAACGACGTGTTGAACCTCAGAATCTTGCTTACTATAAGGT